AGGAGAGGAGAGGGGAGGGGAGGGGAGGGGAGGGGAGGGGAGGGGAGGGGAGGGGAGGAGAGGAGAGGGGAGGAGAGGAGAGGAGAGGAGAGGAGGATGGTGAAGGATTGAGTTAGGGAGGGTAGAGGGCTCTGAGTGTAGCAACTCTAAGAGATGAACTCAGGTCGACCCTGGCATAGCACACCTGCAGCAGCAAACTCAAAGACGAGGAAGGTGTGGGTAGGAAGAAGAAAACTTCACTCCCTCTGATACATCTGAGGTACCTCCACTTCCCAGCTGACCAGCCACCAAGACTAACGGGAGCTTGCCAGCTGCCATGGCGTTCGTAGCCTCCACTGCCAACTTCACACGATCGATCTCCAAGAGGCTGTTCCATGCCAACGACCTCGATGACGGCAACGAGCAACGGGACATGCCGAGCAATGCGCAGAAGATCTCAGAGTCAACGTAGAGCACCCTTCGCTGTCTTGATCCTGCTGCTCACGGTTTCTCGTCTGCAGTTTCTACTACAGCGTGTGGGGAGGGGAGTGGCAGCTGGTAAGGGAGGAGTGCTCCAGCTCTTGGCCAGCTGGTGAGCTCGTCGAGCTGAGACGCTGCTGCAGAGAAGGGTTGTGCTTTCACCGAGAGAGCTTGCTCTCTCCTGGGATGGTGGGAACAAGGTTTGGCCACCATGTTTGTGTTGTTGTGCTCTCCTCCTCATCCTTCTGCTCCTCCGTCTCCCACTCCCCCTGCCTTCCTCGTCCTCTTCATCGTCATCATCGTCGTCGTTATCCTCGTCCTCGTCCTCTTCCTCATTGTGTTTCTTATTCTCGTCCGGAGTATCATTGTTGATAAAGTCTTGGTTTGCGCGTGTTGATAACGCTTCGGAAGGTTCTTGATTCCATACCGTTGCACGAGGTCGACGTGTAAGGAGCTGTGATGCAAATTGCTCATCTTGTGTTAACAGATAGTCTCTGTTGAGATTGGATCTCCTCCAACTGCGATCAAGCATGAGTCGACGTGAGATTGATGCCGAGGAAGAAGAAGCTGTTTGCTGATAGATATGTTGTGGTGGTGATGATGAAATTATCATGAAATGATAATGATGATGATGATGATGATGATGCTGATGAGGGGAGGGGAGGGGAGGAGGGGGAGGAGGGGGAGGAGGATGACCATCGAGACGATGATGATGGAGATGAAGATGGTGATGATTATGGAATAGGGAATGACAAAAATGTTGGAAGTGAGGAGAGGGGAGGAGAAGAGAGGAGAGGAGAGGAGAGGAGAGGAGAGGAGAGGAGAGGAGAGGAGAGGAGAGGAGAGGAGAGGAGAGGAGAGGAGAGGAGAGGAGAGGAGAGGAGAGGAGAGGAGAGGAGAGGAGAGGAGAGGAGAGGAGAGGAGAGGAGAGGAGAGGACGAGGAGAGGAGAGGGACGAGGACGAAGGAGAAGGAGAGGAGAGGAGAGGAGAGGAGGGAGGCGAGGATTGTTCTTGTTCATGTTTGTTTGATACGATGAGGCAGAGCCATCGATGCAAACTCTGAATTCTACATCTTGACATCTCTGGATGGATACAACTCAGGTGCTGCTTCAACTATATTCGATGATGTTTCGATTGCATTGGTATGTTCCCTCTCCCTTTCCTGCAACCTTTGCCAATACGTGTATCTCCTCAAATTGATATTGAAGAAGGAGATGACGATGACGATGACGATGACGATGACGATGATGATGATGATGGAGATACGATGATGATGATGGAGATGGAGATGGAGATGGAGATGATGATGATGATGATGACGATGTTGATGAGAATTGTAATGTCGGTTGTGCGATGACGACACACAGGTCGTACGTATCACTTTCGGAGCATGACAGGGTCGTCAAGAGAAACCGCGAATTGGCTGACTAAGGCATGACAAGTGAACATTCATGAAGATGTGAGAGTGAACTACTTGATGTGAAGATCAAGGAGACGAAGGCAACGGCGACTAAAAGATGGAAACGAGAAAATTTCAGTATGTCAAAGAACAAGAACAATATTGATTTGAGTGTTTTGTTGTGCTGACAGTGTTGATGACAGTGTTGATGATCGATTTCCATACCTGTCGCCTTTCAGTTCTTTTCTAGTCACTTTTTGTCTACCTGATGATTTTGAATGATGTCAGCTGAATCATTTCTTGATTTATATTCATGTTCGATCGTTCTTGTTCTGCTTGGTAACTTCTCCTCCTCCTCCATTTCTCCTCCTCCTTCTCCTCCTCCTTTTCTCCTCCTCCTCCTCATCCTCCTCCTCAATCATTATCACAATGGTCTTCTTTGCTTCCTTCTCCATCTTCAGTCACCAGATCTCAAGAGCAGCTTTCTAAATTTTACAACTACCGTCCATTCCAGGTATCATGATAGCGCGTGCGATAAATCTTGAGATAAATCCTGCTCCTGCTCCTGCTCCTGCTCCTGCTCCTGCTCCTGCTCCTGCTCCTGCTCCTGCTCCTGCTCCTGCTCCTGCCCCTGCCCCTGCCCCTGCTCCTGCTCCTGCTCCCTGCTCCTGCTCATGCTCCTCCTCTTCCCCTTTCGCTCCTATCTCTGCTGTTCGTCTTGCTCCTCCTATTCTTTATGATCTTACTCCTCCTCCTCCTCCTCGTTCTCTTTTCCTCCCTTCCCTTTTTTTCCTTCCGCTCACTTCCTCTTCCAGTCCCTGATCGCTGCCCTGATCGCCGGAAACTTCGCCGTTACAGCTGCTGAGCTTCAGCTCTTGCCAGAACAAGGATCTAAGTACTCTCCTTCCTTGTAACAGCCTTCCTTTGCACTGACTTGCCTGCTTGCCCTGTTGTTGGCACTACCAGATCAGCGACAATGTTTGAAAACCTTGACATCATGTTCACGCTTTTGTTCCTTGCGGTGATGAGAAAGTTCTGCTCTCGCTCCCTGTGCTGAGGAAGATGTGCAGGAGTTGTTGCTGAACTTGGCCGGACATTTCTTCTGGAAGTTTTTCTCTGATTGGTGAGAAGAAGGAGCAGGAGCAGGAGCAGGAGCAGGAGCAGGAGCAGGAGCAGCAGGAGCAGCAGGAGCAGGAGCAGGAGCAGGAGCAGGAGCAGGAGCAGGAGCAGGAGCAGGGCAAGGGGAGAGGGGGACGAGGACGA